TAGGATCCTTAGAAGATGTTTAGAAGGTGGATTTAATAGGGAGGTGACTGTGGAACAACAAGTGAATAATAATATGTAAGTTTGAAGGTGTTTGAAAGGGGATAAGAGATGTTTTTCGGCTATCCGGGCTGAAAACAAAAGAGAAAACCATTAAATGTCGTCTCTTATAAGGCACAATTGTCGAGGGAGATCTATCACCTATTCCTGAATAGGATACATGCATACTATTTACAGAAGAATCCCTTAGGGTAGAAATCAGAGAATATAATCTTCAAAATACACAAAACAAATCAAAAATCACCACAATCAGATTCCACAAAATAATATTTATAGTAATACCAAATTTAAACCCTAATTAGAATAAAAAGGAGAATGAGAGTGCACAAGACACATGCAACCCCATTGCGGGAAAATCTTAAAATAAACATTCCATGATGGTAATTAGTTTTGGTTCAATCCCACAATTGCGAGATCTCGTGATCGTGATACCACAGGACACAATAATGGAAGAGAGCTCCAGCGTCATCCTTTGGTTGCTAAAATCAAGGCTTTAGGTGGGTTAAGCTCTCCTCTTATGGAGAGGAGTTAGTCCATATAAAAAATGCATGACATTGTAGCCAAATTTCACTATGTTCATTCAAGCAATTAACTTGAAATTATTTTTATCAATCCATTTTTTGAAACTTTATATGTCACCGCTAACGCATGTGATAATCCCACAATGTGATTACTTAGAATGTTGATTAGAGGCACTGTTGACACACCAATCTAGACATGCCAATTAGATCGGTTGGAGAACCATCACTGATATTGACTTGAAATTGGGCTAAGCCTAGTTTTTCGTCTATAATAAATATAAATAATAGTCTGAAAAAATATTTTAGTGTCTCCATAAACGTTAAAGATCAACCCTTAAAGTAGATTATTTGGAAGAGGAACCAATTACGAAAAAGACCTCGGATCCTCCAAACTTCGCAATCACTGTCATTGTCACAAATATTGCAATCCTCGTCACATATTATAGTAGTTTGCTTGGTTGCCACCCACTTGCATCTTTGTTAGCTTGTGTACATCAGTCTTACCAATGTTTGATCATTTATATTATTCATTTGAGATTTATCGCATTCAATCTTGGTTAAAGCTTCTGCCAAGGTAACCTTTAATATTAAGACTACAACAACCATAAGCCTTTATCCCATTAAGTGGCATCAGCATTTTAATATTAGGACTACTTGTAGCAAAGTTAAGTAAAAATAAAAAACTTAATAGGTTAAACACTCCATTTTCTTCAGAAAAGCACTCCACACACTAGAACCTTATGTGCCACTTTTGATGAAACTGTAAATCATGCACCCCTTTTCTTTGTATCTACTTCAGAAAGCAGAAAGTACTTGAGAAATGTGATATGCCTAACAGCTACAAAACATTACTAACAGTTTAATAAGCAACATTCATAACCTGCATTGTTGTAAGAAAATCAACATGGTATTCTCCAGTTCAATGGTTTGATACACTTGGAATAAGAGAAACATAAACCAAAATTTGCAACCATGTAATTAGATAACGACAAGACTTTGCACATATTAGTTTGCGATAAACTAGTTTGGTACTGATGCGGGGCTTTCCCTTTCTAATGCTAACGCGGAGCTTCCTCTTCCTGTTGCAGCTGAACTAGCAAACATTTAGGCTAATTGGACTGGCCTGGATAGAGGCAGCTTGGGTAGCTCCCTGGTCCCACTTATTAGTGCAGATTATCTCCTAATCCCGAAATTGAGGTCTTGGAATTGTCGATCCCACCCTTTGCTTCCCTCCTCTTTCTATTTCGAGGCCCTGGAATTGTCGCTTCCGCCCCTGCTTCCCTCTTCTTCCTATTTGAGCCTTGCCATAAGAGAACTCCTTCCTATTGTACATCCCTTACCTTCAAAGTTCTTTCCTTCTCCAAGTCTTGCCTCTTTTATCTACTAACTTCAATTATAATGTGTTTGTTTGCCTAGGTTAGGGTATTTGATTGATTTCTTATTTCAGTTTGCGAGGACGACTGTCGGCATCCTGTTTTCCACCCAGGCGCAGTATCCGACGGATAGAGTGGTGGTCCGAGAGTGATGGTCCGACTATATCCATTTCCTCTGGTGGTGATTACCTCTCCGACTTTCACCTTCACCCGCCCTCCTTGCCACCAACTGTTGTTGTCCAACAATCCAGTCAACCACCTACATCTCCCACGTCTTACTAAATTTGTTGTTATGCATTTCGACTACCCTCCTGCTGTGTCGGGCGCCTCCTACGAGCCGCCATTCTACTGGCTGTCCAATAGTCGTTCACCCCTTTTCCCTAGTGTGTCTTAATAGTTTTATTTGTTTATTTTCCTGTTTTGAAGCATCGTCGTTGTAACCCATTAACTTTCAACAATAATATTTATATTCCTATTGTGGTTTGGTCATTTTTCTTCGGTATCATTTCATATCAGAGCTAGTCCAACCCTAATCTTATTCTAGGGTTTCCTAGCGTCTATCATAACCTACAAAATTTCCTTTCTACCATTCAATTCCCTTTCCACTACCACATGTTCCTGAGCCTAACTCCTTCTCTCCTTCTCTCTAGCTCCTCATCACTTTCTCATTCTTTATCACTCTTCCTCTTCTATCACTCTCTTACTATTGCTTATTATCTCTCTCAAATTATTCTCTCACTATCACTCTCCCACCCACACACAATTCCTCTCTCTGCGCCGTCTTCAGCGAAGGCTTATGGATATTGAAGAGGAAATACAGTGGAAGGTTACACCGTGATCCGTAAGGCCGAAGAGAAGAAAGAGAAAATATGAAGATGAAGAGGGAAACATAGTGTTAGTTCCTACCAATTTACTTCCGCCAAAATTTGCAAACTCTAACTTCCGAAGAGGAGATACCGCATCACCAAGCGACCCCCTTGCTACTATCCAATTAAGCAAATCTGCAAGTCTGTCAGCCAGAAAATGTTGTAGTGTCACGGATTCGAACATGTGAAAATGGAATGGGTGATCTATTTCATGAAACAGAGTGTTGTTGAAACCTGGGGTAAGAACACCGCAGACACTGAAGAGCAATTCAAACGAGAATTTTCATCTTCCCCCGTGGAACTCCCTTGTTCGTAGATACATACAATGTATTTCCTCCATGTGAACAAAAGGAACATGTGACTTTGATGAGATTGTAGTTCCTGTTCTCCTAGAAAATGGTGAACTTTTTGTGGAGACATAAAAATCGCACAGGCTAGAAGATGTCAGAATTTAAAATTTCAGTGGATTATCTTAGTGACGACCAATCGATAGCATCACAGGTTGGTACACTTTCAACCCTCACCTCCAGTGTTCCACATGAAGAAATAAAAGACTAGTGTGAAGCTCTTGTTATTATAACGCAGTAAAAGGTGTCAGTTCTCCAAAACAACAAGGGTTAGAGGGAAGATTAGGAAGATAATAAGAATCACTATCAACCAATCTCTTGTAAAACCTCAACCCCAATGAGGCCTAACTTGTCTTAAATGAGAAGCATATGAGATATTTACTTGTTCAAATTTGGCTCGAGAGAACCTCTGTCAATGTGTACTTCCGGCTCAGATTATTTCAAACTAGAACTGATCGATAGAAAGGTATGCTCGTAAGTAGGAAAGCTCCTCAGATGCGTTGGGAGTCAGTGCAACCGTCAGTGGAATCCAGGAAAGGTCGGGAAGAAACAGAAGCTTCGACAGATGAAGTTGAAGCTCCTCCAACCCCGGGAGAGTGACGTGGGGGGCTTCCCCTTCCCGCTACTGGAGCGGGGCTTCCTCTTCCCACTGCGGCTGAACCGATCATCATTTAGGCCGACTAGACTAGCCTGGACAGGGGTCGGTTGGACCGGTCCCTGCTCACGCTCATTATAGCGGGATTTATCTCCCGATCCCATGACCGATGCCCTGGAATTGCCACTCCCGCCCCCTACTTCCCTCCTCTTCCCATTTCGAGGCCCTAGAATTGTCGCTCCCACCCCTGCTTCCCTCCTCTTCCTATTTAAGAATTTGACATAAGGGAACTTTTAGTTCTTTCCTTCTCCAAGTCTTGCCTCTTTGATTTACTAACAACAATAATAAATATGTGTTTGCTAGCCTAGGTTAGGGTAGTTGATTGATTTTTTATTTCAGTTCATAAGGACAGCCGTCGACGTCCTGTTTTCCCCTCAGGGGTTGTATCTGACAGGTAGGATGGTGCTCTGATTGTATCATTTTCTTCCGATAGTGATTATCCTCTTCGACTTCCACCTCCACCCGCCCTCCTTGCCGCCAACCGCTGTTGTCCAGCAATCAAGCAACCACCAGCATCTCCCACGTCTTCCTGATCTTGTTGTTCTGCATTTCAACCACCATCTTGTTATGGCCCCTGCCCCGAGCCGCCATTCTACCGGCTGTCTAGCAGCCTTTCACCCCTTCGCTTTCTCCCTAGTGTGTCTTTTATATTGCTATTTATTTATTTTCCTGTTTTGAAGTGTCGTCGTTGTAACCTTTTAAATTTCAACAATAATATTTCTATTCTTATTGTAGTTAGAGCCTTTTTCTTCATTCTCCGCTTTTTTTCTTCGCACTAGTTCCTTTCATTTTGAAATTTAGGCAAAACTTCTACTTTCTCTCAAACAAAATAGGTATTTTACCGCTACAAGCATTTGAGTCACACAAGCAGCAAAACTCAAGAAAAATTTTTCTAAAGCAGTACATTACAAATAATAAGTACATAAAGTATTAGCAAAGCAACAAGTTACTACACTATGTACTTAGTAAATAAAACTCAAAACATCTTACATGTAATTATTGTACGGTAGTAGCTCTGAAAAATAAAAGGGAAAATAATAGATGCAGCATTATATGTGTGAGGAAGTATTCGTAGTTTTTATCTATTATAAAAATAACTGTCATAGCTAATTGTGCACCCATGCATATCTAAGAAAAAGGTAGCCGCATATAGCATAACATTAATGAGTTCAGATACATACTTTGTCCTTGTTAGAATAACCATTAGAATCATCAGAAGAGCCACCGGAGGAAGATGAACTGCTGCATTTGGCAATCTCAGAAACTGAGTGCCTTTTAGAAAAAACTAAAGCAATTTTTCTTGAGAAAACCGAAGCTTTATTATGGCAAAACTGTTTACATGATGCATAACCTGTAAAAGAAGAATTTATGGTTAGGCATACCCAATGTGAAAGAAAACATTGGCCATCTAGTTATTTGATGTAACTACTTCATGTCATAGAAATTGGTTTACATAAAAATGGTAAAGAGACCACAAGAAATCAGGATGTTTTTTTTTTTTTTAAATCATCAAGAAACAAATTATTCATTCTTAATTCAATATAAAAAAAAATCAATATAGCTATAACTTCATGTCAAAGTGCTAATACTAACATCATAAAGATAAAACAAGACAAAGTTAGACATAATAAGCAAAAAATTCAACCATGGCTTCAAGAGGACTTCAGCTTGATGTCAACCCTAGGATGGAAGATTAAGTTGGTTAAAAGTGATGTCAAAGTGAGCCACACCTAAAACTCTTATTATAGAAGACGATAATAATGAAATCAGTGGGTACAAAGTTATTAGAATCCTATGAAAGAGACGATCGAGATACATGACAAATACGTAAAAGCAAAGCCCAATATTGTATTCAGCAATATCAAATTCCAACATGAAAAATTAAGTTGCCATTACACCTCGGTATCAAATGCATAGAGCTGCTTCTGCAATTTTTGCCAAATTTAAACCAGCTTTTCTCGGTTATTCATCTCGATTGAGATCTATGTTTTCAAAGCACAAATTGCAAATCGAATTCCATGAAACGTTTACCCAATCAAGGTGAAGCTCAGTCCTTTATTAGTCAAAAGAGCATTTCCTTTTGTGTAGAACTCTGACAAATAACAAAACCCGCTGCCGAAGCATTTTACTGGTATATAATACTTCATCGTCATTATCATGCGATTTGCAGAACGAGAAAAACCAAGGCAAGCAGATGTAGTAATGACAAAAGTATGGTAGAAATAGAATCCATAAGTAGTTCAATGTTGAACAAATAGTGAAGCGCTTGAAAGTAAGAGATACAGAAGGGGAATAAGGAAAGTTTTAAGAGAAAACAAGCAAATCAGACAACTGGAGAAGAGAAACCTGGAAAGCTTGAGTAGTAGAAAACCGAAGAGAGGAAGAACCTGGAGTTGCAGAACATGGCCACAATAGAAGGCCTGACTGCAGCATGGCGATCATTATTGTGGCGGCCAAGCGATCGGTAGATATTTAGGATTACGCTGTCCCTCCAATATTATCTGGGGACTGAGCCGAAATTATTGCATACGGAGTGTCCGAATCATCTACGGCACCGGTCACATTATTTCAGTTTTAAAAATAAAAAAATAAAAAAAAAATTAAGTGCGTCCCACCGAAATACATCCTGACCGTAAAACACCTTATTTACGGCCAGAATCGGACACCGCAGATCCGTATGGAATAATTTTTCGGGGATCAAGGGCCCTTTCGTGCAGCTTATTTGCTCCTGTTTGGAAAACGTATTTCTTATTTTTTTTTTTCAAAACGCTGAAACCGATGGTAATTTTCTATCAGACTTTTCTAAAAAAATATAAAAGTTTGCAATAGTTAAGTAACCTAGCTTATCAGCAATTTATTTTTAATCAGCTTATGAGCAGATTATACAATAAGCTACAGCTGCCCCCAAAGAGATCGTTAAGTCTTCTAGCTAAAGGGGTGTTTATTTCGATTAGAATTTAATACTTCTTATATATTTAAATTTAG